GGGCCCGGCACCCACAACTGTTGCTCTTAAAGGGCCCGGCACCCACACTGCTGCTGTTAAAGGGCCAGGCACCCTCACTGTTGCTGTTAAAGGGCCCGGCACCCTCACTGCTGTTGTGAAAAGGCCAGGCACCACGGCTGCACTTTAGGAGCAGGTACCCTCACTGCCCTTAAAGGAGCAGGCATCGTTATTGCTACTCTTAAAGGGGCAGGCATCCTCACTGCTGCTGTTAAAAGGCTACACCCCCTCAATGCTGCAATGCAGCATCATTTCTGAAGAAAGGTCCTGATCCGAAACATCAACTTTCCTGCTCCTCTGATGCTGCCTGGCCTGCTGTGTTCATCCAGCTCTACATTGTGTTATCCCACACCCTCAGTACTGCTCTGAAAGGACCAGGCACTCCCACTGCTGCTCTTACAATAAGGCACCCTTATTGCTGTCCTGAAAAGGCCAGGCAGCACGGCTGCCCTCGAAGGAGCGGGTATCCTCACTGCTCTTAAAGGAGGAGGCGCCTTCACGGCAATCTTAAAGGGACAGGCGTGCACTCTCAGAGATAGTAAGAACTGCCGATGCTGGAGTCAGAGATATGCACACTGCTGCTATTAAAGAGTAGGAACCTTCACACTGCACTTAGAGTGTAAATACCTTGTTGTCGCCCTTAAAGAAGTAGACAGCTTCACTGCTGCTCTTTAAGAATAGGCACCTTCACTGCTGCTGTTAAAGGGCCAGGCACCATCACAACTGCTCTTAAAGAGGCAGACAGCCTCACTGGTCTTGCATGTAGACACTGTCGCTGCTGTTCTTAAAGAAGGAGGCACCCTTAATGCTGTTCTAAAGGAGGAAGGCACCTTACTACTCTTTTGAAATTGGCAATAACTATCCTGAGAATGATTGACCACCAGGCACACACAAAGAAAGAATGGAGATGGTGGCAGAGGTTTAATGTCACTAGACAAGATCTCCAGAACTCCGGGCTAATGATCTGACTGATTTTGCCATTTAAACTGACAGCAGCATTTAAAGAAGGCAGTTCACCACCTACATTACTGCAAATTTGTTTTCTTCTACGCTGACCTCCAAGTTTGGCACACAGCAGAAACTTCCGAAGATCAATCCTGTCAATAGTGTTGGCATGCCAAACACTGTGTGTGCAGTGTAGCTTAGGGAGAACATTGCTCACCACCATCTTCCCAAGGGCAACTAGGGGTGGGCACCCAGAGGGATTAAGCAGTAATATTTTGAAATGAATGTACTAGTCGCACTGGAGCACTGTTGTGAGGTATACAAAACAAATAGGCAGCATTCGCAAGCTTTACTGGTTTTTCCTTCCGTGTGTTAAATGCTTACCTAGACAACCACCCCGGCCACATCCTGTGAATGAATTTTTTTAAGAATGCAATTCATTAATGTGTTCAGAAAGTTGCTGGAGAGACTCATCAGGTCTGGCAGCAGCATCTGTAAAAACAGAGATCAAGTTGACATTTCGCATCCAATGTGACTCGTCTTCGGAAAAGCAGGGTCCCTGGAATAGGAATATTAACACTTTTTCCCTCTCCAGAGATGCTGTTGCCAGACCTGCTTAATTTGACCAGAACTTTCTGTTTTTAGTTCAGATTTCAAACATCCATAACATCCATAATGATTCATAGAAAGAATCTGGAATTGAAAGCTGGTTTCCATAAACTGCCACCAATTGTAATAAAACCGCATCTGGCCCAATGATATCCTTGCTTGGTCTGCCCCTCATGTGATTCCAGATCCATAGTAATGGATCCACACTGCCCTCTGAAGTGGCTTAGTAAGTCGCTCAGTTCAAGAACATTCAGAGATGGGCAACAAATATTGGCCGTTTCAGTGATGATCATGTGCCATGAAAGAACAAAAGCACAAATAAACACTAAACAAACTCAGAAACTCATCTAACCTCCTCTGGCAGCACCTTCCCAAACCCACCACAAGGTCAGCAGATGTATTAGTAAGAGCAAGGCCTGCACGTTCTCTTCCAAACTACATACTGTCCTAATTGGGAATAATAATGCTGTCCTTCACTGTTGCTGCATCAAAATCCTAGAACTCCCTCCTTAATGTCACTGTCGGTCAACCTACCCCACAAGGACTGCAGCGGTTTAAGAAGGCAACTCATCATCACCTTCTGTATGGCATATAGGAATGAACAATAAATATTATCTTTTGACTTTTTGGCCAATGTTTCAGCCTGTCCAAAAAGCAGTTATTTGTTAATTAGGTAATATCATTGTCAGAGTGATAGCTCAGCAGAGTGGTGCACTCTCCCCTATGAGAAATTCAAGCTGCCGATGCAATAGTTGAGCCTATTATCACATTTATCATTTTGGAACAGCACTGAAGGAGTGCAGCATTGCCTTTCTGGAGAAGAGACATTAAGGCTCTGTCCACTTCAATTGCCCATGGTTTGAGGTCTGGGTTGTTGCATAGTTCAGCAACTTACTGAAGCAAGATTATTTCGGACCTCGAACCTCAGTGAAATTCTTATATCAATATATATACACATATACACACAGATCAATAATGTGCAAGATATAGGGGTGGTATAGGAAGTTGGGGTGGAAGCAGATGATCATATTGAAACAGCAGAACTGCCTACTCCTGCTCCCATTTCTTATGTTCAGATGGATTGAAAATGTAGTACCAATTTCACTGAAACTGATAGCCCAGTGGCCTTTCTCTGTTATGGTTTCTAAGCTCCTATATTTATAAATTATTCCTCCATCTAGATTTGCAACTTTTTGTAGTTTACATCTTTGGGATATCCTACTAAATTATTTCAAACCCGAGGAATGGGTTGTTTAATTGAACTTCAGCTTTGCAGCCAATTTGCATACAGCAAGGCCCGCAAATATTATTGCATGAAATGACTAGTTACTCTGTTTTAATACCATTGTTTGAGGGAATACATCTTGGCTGGGACACTGGGGAGAAACGTACTTGCTCTCCTTCCAAATTATACTATGGAATCAATATAGTATTTGACTTAGCAGGTAGGTAATAGAGATCTCGATTTAACATATCAGCTGAATGGTTTCTAATCAACCAAACTCAAATATGCAATTAGGTTTGGGATCTTTTAAAAAATGCTTTTTTCCCCATAATAATCCTTCTCTCATAAGGTCAGGATAATGTCACAGCTGACTGTGCATAACAAACATACCACAAATCTCATTTTATAGTTTCACCTCCACAATATTTGCTGTCCTCTGGATGGAAGTGATTGACACCTGGTATCTTGTTTATCTATGTGTTTGTTTAACCTTTAACAAACTTTAATAAACTGTAGAGGATTATTTTGTCAAGTTTTGTACTTCCTGGAGAGGAAGTACACACAGTCAGTGGAGTGTGAGAATTGTCTATTTTCATTACCTCCTTTACTGACGTGAACTACATCCCACAGACTTTCTACCACTTGAACTAAAACAGAACAAAGAAGGACATATAAAGACCTGCACCAGGGACTACAGCATGACTGCTATTTGTCCCATTTTATGGTGTGCAATGACATAGAGAATCTGTCAGATATTTTCACATCTGTTAATGTGATTTTTAAAATGTTCTTTTAGGGGATGTGTGCATCACTGGTTGAGACAACATTTGTGCCAATCTCTAATTGCCCTGGAGAAGGTGGTGGATAAGCTGCTTTCTTACCGTCCTTGGGGTGTAGATTCACCCGCGGTGAAGTTAGGGAATTCCAGCATTTTGACCCAACCACAGTGAAGGAACAGCTGTGTAGTTCCAAGTCAGGATGGTGTGCAGCTTGGAAAGGAACTTACAAGAGTTGGTGTTACCACACATCTCCTGTCCTTGTCTTTCCAGGTGTTAGAAATTGTGGATGTGGTAGGTGTTACTAAAGGTGAGTTGCTGTAGTGCATTTGTAGATGGTACAGCTGCCACTGGTGTTAAGCCTTTAGTCACCTGTTCTAATTTAATTTTGTCGGCTTGTCGGATAACACTGCCTTGAGTCAGGGAGGGACATTCATTTTTGTTACTATATTGGAGGTATCGTATAAATGCAAGTTGTTGTTAACATTGAATCATTGGATACAGGAACAAGAGTAGGCCATTCAACTCTTAAGCCTGTTCCACCATTCAATGAGATCATGGCTGATCCATGGCCTAACTCCATAGACTTTAATATCTTTGCTTAACGAAAATTTATCCATCTCAGATTTAAAACTACAACTTGATCTTGCATCAACTGCCATTTGTGGAAGAGTTTCAAACTACAACTACCCTTTGTAGCATGTAGCATATTTCTGATTTTCCTTTTCTAACTCTGTTGAGATTTTGCATTTGTCCTTACTTCCTTATGTAACAGAATAATCTTTACGTGTATCAACCACAGATTGGTACCAACATAAGTTGAGTCATTGACAAGAAATGACATGCTAAATTTATTTCCTAACTTTATTGCCGCAGAGAACGGACTTTAGCAGTAACTACGGTTACAGGCAACTGCACTAAATATTGCAAATTTGAGTTAATCTTTTACTTCTTTACAATGGCCAGATCTGGACAGAGATAATGGGAATGTGTAAGAAACAGGATATCTAATGCCAGTTCTTCCTAAACCATGAGGGGCCAGCTTACGTTTATACTATATTTGATAAGGTCCTATGTTAAGTGCATCTTAGGTAACAGCATAAAACCCAACGTTGACCCCGTACGTTTAATATCAGCAATCTCATTGCCTCCTTTACACTATTCATTCCCCATTAATGATTATTTCTGTTTGTGAGTAACAGGAATAGTAGTCAGGAATAAATGTATATCGAGACTGTTAGCTGTGCAGGCACTGCGTTTTACCGCCTTACCTTTTAGTATGAAAGCTGTTGGTTCACATCCTGATCCAGATGCTATATTCAGTCAAAGCTGAGGGTTAACTATAGGTCTGTTGGAGATGCTGCCGTTTGTTAAACTGAGATCCTGTCT